CAGGGGTCCCTTTACCTTTACCTTTATACTAATAGTAACACATTGACACTTTCTATGCATACATGTTTTGTTCAGCATCTATACAACATCACTGGCATGAGAATGCCTGTCTATATCCCCCAATTCCTGCCTTCCATGGGAAATCTTGTATGTAAAAAGTAAAACTGTTGCCAGCAGCTCATTTGCAGTACTGTATCTCAATGGCCCACCTGCAAACTAAGTTGGACATGCCTGATTTAGAGCAAGTCTCTTCTCCCAGTGCAGCTGCAGAAGACCTGGCCCACAATGTTTGGACAGGTTCCCCTAGCTCTCTTGTGAGACTTGCTTGGGGGAAAAGGTGAAGGAGGCTGCAGTGGGGAGGATGGGAAGGGGAAGATCAGTTACGTGGGCTTTCTGCCAGCGAAACACTGGCTACAACCCTCTCTCTTTCAGTGGCTAACAATGATTTAAGGATTAAACACAGAAATGTTGACTGCTCTGCATACGTGGGCCCTTAAACAATATGCCCCAAAACAACCGAAGCATATGCTGCTGGCATGGAGCAGCATGTAGAACTCTGATCGGAATGCAGCTTGTGTCCTGTCTGCATTTCAACACGGTAACCATGGAAATGGGGACAAGCCTGCACAAAGCCAAACAATGGAAACCTTGAAATGAGTAAGTGAAAATGACAACAGGGAATTGTGAATGTTCAAGACTTTTCAGAGTGCTAATGCCTTGGTCTAGCCTTCTGAAGTAAAAAGAACTTAGAAACCCATATATATATATATATCCCCTCTGTGCCCAAATTTAATTACATTCCATTTGTTTTGAAACCTTTTTAATACAGTGGTACCTCGGGTTACATACGCTTCAGGTTACAGACTCCACTAACCCAGAAATATTACCTCAGGTTAAGAATTTTGCTTCAGGATGAGAACAGAAATCGTGCTCCGGCAACGCAGCGGCAGCAGGAGGCCCCATTAGCTAAAGTGGTGCTTCAGGTTAAGAACAGTTTCAGGTTAAGAACGGACCTCCGGAACAAATTAAGTACTTAACCTGAGGTACCACTGTATTTACATCTGCCTGCTAATAAAGTTGCAATTCAGCTTAGAAATGATCTGAAAAGGGCTTGCCTAGATACATTTTAAAAGTACATACAGTAGTACCTCGGGTTAAGAATTTAATTCGTTCCAGAGGTCCGTTCTTAACTTGAAACTGTTCTTAACCTGAGGTACCACTTAAGCTAATGGGGCTTCCCGCTGCTGCCATGCCGCCACCACATAATTTCTGTTCTCATCCTGAAGCAAAGTTCTTAACCCGAGGTACTATTTCTGGGTTAGCGGAGTCTGTAACCTGAAGCGTCTGTAACCTGAAGCGTATGTAACCCGAGGTACCACTGTACTTCTTGTCCTTTACATATTATCTGATTTTATTTGCAAAATGTTGTTGAATGCTGCTGTGGGGACTCAGGTCTTGCTTGCGTGTTTCCCACAGCCATCTGGTTAACCATTGTGGTCTGTGAACCACTTAATTCCAGTAACCCAGAACATCTGTATTCGCACTGGATTTGTTTTTACTGGCAATGGAAATCATGGCTGTTTTGACCAGGGCTAGGCTTTTTGACAGGCTAAGCAGGCCTTGCCCCTCAACATTTATCAGTGAAAGGGGCAGGGGCCCTTCTCAGTGACATGGCCTAGGGTCCATGGTTTCATAATATGGTGGTGTGTTTCAGGGGTGTCAGCTTAAATAAAATGTTGTGGGGGGACAGATAAGCCCCACCCCACATAATTAATCACATGACGCGGCGCACACACCATTTGAATGGCAATGCCCATTAACTTTGGGGGCCCCAGGCCCTTCAAATATTTTATTGGAGGGCTGAAGGGACTTGAGCCTCTAGGAGTTGGCTCCTATGATGGGTTTAATTATAACGCTTGGCTCTGAAGGTTAAAAAACATTTTGTTCCTCATAATGGTGAAAGGTTGGGTTTTCATCACTTGCCACCCTCAAGTCTAAATGCAAAAGCAGGGTGAATGCTGAACCTGACCTGAGGTGAAAGCTGACAAGACTTCACAGTACTTTCTCACAACAAAAACTGGCACATCCATCATATTAGCAAAGCAAGACTATGGCTGTTAAAATTTGTGGTTTGTGGTTTGCTTTGTAGAACAAAAACAGTGGTCCACCAAGTCCCCCAGCAATTTCCATGTGGTCCACGCACACACAAAGTTTGAGAACTGCTGATCTACACTGTTTTGACAGTATTGGTACACACTGTCACTCTAGGCTGGGTGCTTTTACAATGTGAATCGGTGCTTTTGTTTATAGTCCAAATACTCTCACCATGAGAATAAAGCCAGATTAGACAAAAATGCAGATAGAACATTTCATGAACTGAGACTTCATCCTTTATTGGGGGGGGGGAATCACAGAGTGGTTTTCATGCCACAATTCTTCCAAAAGGTTAATGTCTTTTGTATCTGATTTCATTCCCTCTGGCACTGCATTCCACAATGTTTCCCATAGTTACTGAAATAACATGTTGGAACTTCTTACAGGTAAATGTTTTTGCATGCCATCCAACTCCACCATTAGCTCAGAAGGATTAAAAAAAACCCTGATTTTTACAATCTGGAAACGTTGAAGGAAAATGCTATGACATGAGAATATCGCAGCTGCTGTTCCCATAAAAATATGTGTAAACTTATCCAAAAACACAAGGCAGTTTAGATTTCCAAACTTTACATTCATCTTGGCCCAAGGATGAACATGGCATGTAAGATAACCTCAAGTTTAGATTATTATTTAAAGTTATTCAGCTATAAAGGATTTTTTAAAAACCACCTTAAGGTTCTTAAACCTATAATTACATGATCATTACTACACCAATATCTCCATATTTCAGAACTAGGACCTGAAAGAATACAGTGGTTTGCTTAAACTAGGGGTGGGCATTCCAGATCTTGTTGGACTCCATCAGTCCCAGCTTTGTTGTTGTTGACATTTTACAACATGATCTCCTATTCCAGGCCAGAAAACATGGTATGAAATAAGAGTAAGGACAGGAATCTTTTTGAGCCTGTGCAGAATGCCTCTCCCCCACCATGATTGGCTACAGGGTATTGCGAGACTTCTAGGTGTTAAACCAGCAGCAGCTGGCATGGCGGAAGTGTTTACATGACCTCCCAACACTGTGGTGTCTCTGGAGCAAAAGGGCAAGAAGTGAGTCGGCAGTGAGGTCAGCATGGTGCAAATGTACTGCTGGGGGTGCTGGACTGCCTCTGCCAGTGCATTCACACTGTGCTGCCCTCACCATTGTCTCAGCCCTACTCTTCGGCCTCCTGGTGTGCTGCAGCAGCACTGGTGACAGGAGGTTAGGCAAGCATCACTGCCCTGCTGAATGCTGCTGTGCGAGGAGGTGAGGAACACAAGCTGAAGGAACACCCCAGAGTCTGCTGTCTAGACAAGTGGTGCAAGCAAGCCTAGTCATACATGTCAAAGTCAAAAGCAACAACACCACTTCATCTAGCTCTCAGTAGTATAACCAAAGTGTTGCTTTATTGTTTCTTAGGGAAGAGCTGCAGCTCAGTGGTGGAGCATCTGCATTGCCCAGATTCAATCCCTGTCATCCCCTTGTAGGGTTGATTCCAAACTTTTGGCCATCAACTGGAGATAAGAGTTGGTTTGCTGTAGTGGCTAAGAGTATGAGCCATCAAGTCCCTGTTTAAAATTTCACTTTAGCCATTAATTCACTAGGACCTCAATCCTACATGCTTATCTGGGTGTAAGTCTCATGGGTGGTATATTCCTGAGGTAACACGTTAAGGATCACATGGCAGTATGGATATAAACATACCGGACTACCTTGCAAGAATGGTGTAATAATTACTGAGCTAAAATGGTTCCAACAGTTGAGAGCTAGTACAGAAATGCTAGAGGGGTTGTTTTAAAAACAAAAAGCAAATTAGTAATAATTATTCTGCCCAAGGAGTCCATGGCAGCATACCCAATTCTCTTCCCATTTTATCTTCACACCTGCCCTGCAGGGTAGCCTAGGCTGAGAGTGTCTGGGATAACGTCCCTAAGCAAGTGTCATGTCTGAATGGGGATCAGTCTCCCCAGTCTTAGTCCAAGAAGAAACCCTGCATCCACATGGGCTGCCTAGATTTATAATCTCTTTCTCTTCATCTACACCCTTGGTCTGTATATTATCCACAACAATTTATTGTTGTTATTGTTTTTGTTATGAAGACAACTCAGTCAGTAGACCATGAAGTTCTTAATCTCAGGGTTGTGGGTTCAAGCCCCACAGTGAGCAAAAGATCCCTACATTTCAGGGGGTTGGACTAGATGACCCTCATGTTCCTTTCCAACACTTACAATTCTATGATAAAAAAAAATCCTTCTAGTAGCACCTTAGTACTACACGAAAGCTCATACCAATAACAAACTTAGTTGGTCTCTAAGGTGCTACTGGAAGGATTTTTGTTGTTGTTTTGTTTTGACTATGGCAGACCAACATGGCTACCTACCTGTAACTAATTCTATGATAGTCTATGAAGATCCAGCCCAAATCCAAAAAGGCTGTCAAGTCTCACAGGTTTCAACAGAAGGGAGTTAAAAGCGCCATTCACACACACCATGATTGACAGCAGTGCGACTAAGTTTTCCAGATCCACCAAAAGTCAAGCCCATTAATTTCAATAGGCCTGCTCTAAGTAAAACTTAGCTGAATGGCATCCTGCGTTTTCACCAGCAGAGAAGAGGTTTGTTTGTGTTTTCCTCCCGGGGAGATTTACAAACGGAGCCCAGTATGAGACTTTTCTTTCCGATGCTGGTGGGGTTTTTTGGGGGATGGGGGGTTAAGCAGAGAGGCGCCCTTGCTTTGCAAGCGCCGCGCATCCCGGTGCAGTTCAGGATTTGGAAGAAGAAGCGCGTCCCGAGGCGACAGCAGAAGCTCCTGCCCTGTTGCAGCGGGCGAGTTCCCACCTGCCGGACAAGAAAAGCCGCCGACTTACCTGAGCTGAGCAGCAGCAGCAGCAGCAGCAGGCGCCTCACAGCCAGGCAGCTCGCGCAGCGTCCTCTCGCGCCCATAGTTCCCAGCGGAGAAGGGTCCGCGCTGGCGACTGTACCAAGCCGAAAAAAGAGAGAGGGGAGGAGGGTCGAGGCGAGGGCGCAAGGTGCAGCTCGGCCGCGGCAGGCGAGTGAAACGAGCTGCGCGAGCCACGAGAAGTCGTGAGAGGGCAGGGCAGCTCCGCCCACCGCCGGCCACCCCCGCCACGCTCCTGCTGGTGGAAGGAGCCCCCAGGGAGAGAAGGCGGCAGCCCCTCCCCGTTCCCCTCGCCAACAAACACCTCCTGCGGACCGACGTCGCCGCCCAGAGACAAAAAGTCTCTCAGGGCCCGCGCTTTCCCGCCACCAACGCGCGAGCTTTCTTCATTCACCTGCCTCATAACTCGAACTCCGAGCACGCCCCCCTCGGAAAGCTCAACTTTTTCGTCTCACAGGCCGGCCAGGAGTGACGAAAACGGGCGGCTGTTTCGGTTGGCGCCCGTGGTGCTGCCAGGACAGAACTTTAGGGCGGATGGCCAGGACCCTATTCAGCGCAACTATATTTTAAAGCCAGTGAAGTAACATCTAAAGTGAACATCAAAAAAAGGAGGTTCTGTGTCTAAAACAACCCTGAGGTGCCAGCCTGATTCTTTTCGAACTACAACTCCCATCAGCCCCTGCCAGCAGGGCCAATGGTCAAGGATGGTGGGATGTGTAGTCCAACAACCTGGAGGGCACCAGGTTTGCAAAGACTCGTGTAAAATTCCTTAATGCGCCCATTAGTGCCTTCTTGAGCGGAGGGATGACTAAGAATGTGTGGGCTTTTTGTTACCGCTTCTCCACAGAATTTTCCTAGTATGCTGTACCTGCCTGTTCATGCCCACTTTTGCCACTGCATGCAGAAGAGACGCCCAGCAGAGGACCATTTTTGTACCACAGTTTCCTTTGAGATATCCGTCACCTAAGCTTCCATAAACAGATGTAAGGAAGCTCCTTCCTCTGTCTGAGAACTGGCTTAGTGTTGGGATCTATGATGTGAGTCTGGAAGTCCCAAGGCTGAAATTTTGCCTTCATCACAAAGCTGGCTGGCCTTCCAAGCCATACTTTTTCAGTGTCGCCTTTTCCACCTGCACTATAGGCATAATTATACTGGCCTATAATTTTCAGGGGTGCTGTGAGGATTACATTAAGTTCAGATAGGCTCTGGCAGCCATTTTAAAACAAGGGTTATTATGTCAGTTCTAAACGCACCCCTAGTTAATAATCTGGCTATTGCATTTTGAACCAGTTGCAGATTTCCGAGTTGTCTTCAATGGAAGTCCCACACACAGCTATTTACAATAATCCAGTCTGGAAGTAAACTGAGTGTGGAGTACCATGGCCAAATCATCTCTTTCCGAAAGGGGCTGCAGTTGGGAAGATGGAAAGTGTTGCCCTAGAGGGACACAAGAGTAATGAGGACAAGAGGTGCTCTCACATGCTACAAAAAAATAAAAATAAAAAGTCAAGGACCCTTGGATGGTTAAGTCCAGTCAAAGGCGACTATGGGGTTGTGGCGCTCATCTTGCTTTCAGGCCAAGGGAGCTGGCGTTTGTCCACAGGCAGCTTTCCAGGTCATGTGGCCAGCATGACTAAACCGCTTCTGGCACAACGGAACACCATAACAGAAACGAGAGTGCACGAAAATGCCATTTACCTTCCCACTACAGCAGTACCTACCAGTACAGTGGTACCTCGGGTTAAATAATTACCGGTAATTCGTTCCGGAGGTCTGTTCTTAACCTGAAACTGTTCTTAACCTGAAGCACCACTTTAGCTAATGGGGCCTCCTGCTGCCGCCGCACTGCCGGAGCACGATTTCTGTTCTTATCCTGAAGCAAAGTTCTTAACCCGAGGTACTATTTCTGGGTTAGCGGAGTCTGTAACCTGAAGCGTCTGTAACCTGAAGCGTATGTAACCCGAGGTACCACTGTATTTATCTACTTGCATTGGTGTGCTTTCGAACTGCTAGGTTGGCAGGAGCTGGGACAGAGCAATGGGAGCTCACCCCGTCACGGGGATTCGAACTGCTGACCTTCCGATCAGGAAGCCCAAGAGGCTCAGTGGTTTAGACCACAGCACCACCTGTGTCTATGGCTCAGGTTTTTCTGACAGGTGTACCCTAGAGACCATAATAAGAGTTCCCTGAAATATGCACACCAGTACTAGTACCCTTTGTAGAGCTGCAATTTCCAGAGTGATTTAACGATCCTCTCTTCCCAGGGAACTTTGAGAATTGTAGTTCTGTGAGCGGAAATGGCATTTCTTGACAACTCGGAGCACCCTTAACAAACCACAGCTCCCATATTTCTTTTGGGGGAGCCAGGACTATTAAAGTGGTGTAATAGTTATTTAAATGTATGGTGCATATGCAACCCATATTGTATAAATAGATGAACAGGGACACGCGTGGCGCTGTGTGTTAAACCACAGTGCCTAGGACTTGCCGATCAGAAGGTCGGCAGTTCAAATCCCTGCGCCAGGGTGAGCTCCCGTTGCTCGGTCCCTGCTCCTGCCAACCTAGCAGTTCAAAAGCACGTCAAAGTGCATGTAGATAAATAGGTACCGCTCCGGCGGGAAGGTAAACGGCGTTTCCGTGCGCTGCTCTGGTTCGTCAGAAGCAGCTTAGTCATGCTGGCCACATGACCTGGAAGCTGTACGCCGGCTCCCTTGGCCAATAAAGCGAGATGAGCGCTGCAACCCCAGAGTCGGTCACAACTGGACCTAATGGTCAGGGGTCCCTTTACCTTTAATAGTTATTTAAATGTATGGTGCATATGCAACCCATATTGCATAAATAGACGAACAGAAAGAACAACAACAACAAATTTTCCTGCCCATATTGGAGACATTTAGCTGAATGTTAACCTTGATACAATTCCAGTAGCCAATAGACTACTCAGAAACACTTGCCATAAAAATCTCATAGTAAATAGCTGGGTTGGGGTGGGGACTCTCTTAGCACACCATGAAGCGAGTGTCATTTATGTCTTACCAAATGTTTTGTGTTTGCATTTTTCGTCTTAGGATGGAATTTCTGTTTGAAAAACTCTACAGATTATTTCAAGACATAAAGCCAAAATAATTTCTGGCTTATCTTTAAACAAATGTTGAAGGAACTTATTAATATTTTGAAAGATAACACTGGTGGCTTAATGTCGCCAGCTCATGAATGAACAAAAAAGGAGTGGAAACCAACAACAAGGAGAAAAGTGTTTATTCAAGTGACAATTTCCATAGAAAAAAAGGTGCAGTTTTACCATGTTATCATAATGGACGATGATCCATTGAAATAAAGTTACTTAAATTCATTGATTTTAACAGGTCTCCTCTGGGTATATCTAATGTTGGCTATCACTTTTTGAAATACACATTCTTACACTTTTGTGGACTTTTGCTACATCTTTTTGCTAAGAGAATATTTTTTCCCAAATGGACTTCATTTCTGACATTTATTTTTTAGAAACAAGCCACTTATTTTATTTACTTTTTTTAATAATGGCTCTGCCCTCTAAAAATCAGGTTCATGTGGCAAGAACTTGAGGAAATGCACACCATGAATGGGCAGGATGTTTTCCTGGAGATGCAGTGATTCAAGATACGCGTCTCATCTGATAAGGCCACCCCCTGCATGTGTGCTCACCCTGTATCAACACAGAATGTTGCAACTTCTTCTGAGGAACATTGTTAAGCAGTGTGGGAGAAGTCAGTGAGTCATTTAGATCTGTGCTAGTAAGGAAACTCTTAGAAATTCATGCAACAGATAATCTTGAATTTGGACGCTTACATGCAACAACAATCATTTGTCCTTTTAATTATGCCAACCTTTTCATATTCTGCACCTGTGATCAAAAGGTTTTTAGTGTTGCACTTTCAAATTTCTACACTTTCAAATATCAAGAAAGCTGCTTCTGTTGTGGGAAAATCTCCAACACCAACATTTTGTTCCTGGAAAAACACATTTTCCATGAAAGAGGGGATATATACATATACATATACATATACATAAAGGTAAAGGTACCCCTGCCCGTACGGGCCAGTCTTGACAGACTCTGGGGTTGTGCGCCCATCTCACTCAAGAGGCCAGGGGCCAGCGCTGTCCGGAGACACTTCTGGGTCACGTGGCCAGCGTGACATCGCTGCTCTGGCGAGCCAGAGCCGCACACGGAAACGCCGTTTACCTTCCCGCTAGAAAGCGGTCCCTATTTATCTACTTACACCCGGGGGTGCTTTCGAACTGCTAGGTTGGCAGGCGCTGGGACCGAGCAACGGGAGCGCACCCCGCCGCGGGGATTCGAACCGCCGACCTTTCGATCGGCAAGCACTAGGCGCTGAGGCTTTTACCCACAGCGCCACCCGCGTCCCCATACATATACATAATGACACACAAATACTTGGAGTGTGCTTTCCTTCTTTTTAATTCCAAGGAATCGGCAATTCCAAGAAGAATGTAGAAAGACCAAAAATAAAAACAAAAAACCTGTGCAGAAGCAAGCTCTTCTTTTCCACTGTTCTCTATCTTTAAAAATGTGTATCTCAAATAAATAAAAAAATTTAAAACATTGTCCAGTAGCACCTTAGAGACCAACTAAGTTTGCTCTAGGTATAAGCTTTCTCAGATAAGTTGCACAACACCAGTGCCATAATGCTCATTCGTACCTGTTCCTCTTCTTCAACTCTAGCATGAGGCCCTATCTGCACTCAACATTTAAAGCATCATCATGTCACTTTAAACAGATCCAACCTCCACAGTATCATCAGCGCTGACTGGAAGCAGCTCTCCAGGGTTTCAGACAGGGGTGTGTGGATGCCAGGGACTGAACCCAGGATATTTTGCATGCAAGCCAGGTTCTGAATCACTGAGCCATGTCCCTTCTAGCATTATGGTGAAGAAGCAGAGTTGAAGATAAGAACATAAGAGCCCTGCTGGATCAGGGACAAGGCCCATCTAGTCCAACGTCCTGTTCTCACAGTGGCCAACCAGATGCCTATGCTTGGGTGCAACAGCAATATCCTTTCCTGTGGTTCAGATCTCTCACCTCTGGCTTGCCTAAGCCCACCTGGTGATTACTTTCTCTGCCCCATCAACAATACCTACACCTGACAGGGTTGTTGCATGAAATAATTCACGTGAAGCAATCCAAACAGTAAAATTAAGTCACGACTTCGTCCCACTGATTTCATTGGGTCACAGGTACAACTGATTTGGATTGCAACGCTATATACTTCATTCCTAGAAATGTAATCCCAATTGAATTCAGTGGAACTTGCTTTGGAACAGAAACTGAATGATACTGTTGTGAGGTTGGATCCAGTTCATTACGATACTAGAAATTACACATAAGGAGGGTGAAATAGAATGAGGGCAAGATTCACTACCTCATCTTTCCAGGTGCACAGCTGACTGATCTTGAGGAATTGCTCAAGAACTGGCAACCCACAGAGTCATAATTATTCAGAAGTCTCAAGTTGTGGGTCTGTCTGTGGTTTCTGCTAAGTTATGTTCACTAAACAAAGGGCTCTGTTCATCTTCAGACAGGATTGTGA